GTGCAAAAAGGCCATTTTATATTATGAAAAGTAAAGTCAAGTCAATTTGATAAATGAAGTTGTTGACAAATATTTGTATTTAGTATTTACCAAGAAGATACTACATCATGAAATTTTGATTATTCTTCCCATTAAATTAGAACCTTGAGATTTCATGATCCCCAAGAGTGCCATATTTAATTTGGCCGTGTGGAAGACTTGTGCTTTCTTTTTAGGTAGAAAAATGTGTTTCACGATGCCAGTTCATGCATCCTCGTGCAGTTGAGCTCTCCTTTGTGTTTTTTTTTTTTTTTTCTTCCCAAGAACGTGCGTGAGTGTATCACTAATCTCCAACTATTTAGATTAGTTTTTCAAACATTGTTTTTGACTTTTGAAATTGGAAACTGTTTTGATTTTTTTTAAGACATGTAAGAGTGTATCACTAATCTCCAACTATTACGATTAACTTTTCAAACATTGCTTTTGACTTTTTGGTATTGATAATTGTTTTGTCTCTCCAATACATTCTTTTTAAAAATTCGGTAAGCTGTTTTAAATTTAATGAAACTTTCAAATACCAAACGTGTCCTTTATTTTTGAGAATGAAAAAAAATAAAATAAAATAAAAAGTTTTAAAAACAAACTGTTGATTAGACGATCCCAAACATCGTCTATCTTGTGCCATGAGAATATGAAAAAACGAGTAAACAAACACCAACATATAAGCCAAATGAAAGTAATAGATTCTGCCTTCTTTTTTTTTTTTCTTTTCTTTTTTTTCTTTTTTGCATAAAAGTAGAAGTAAAAGCTATGATAAACAATTCCTACAGTATTTTAAAATGAGATTTAAGGGGACTATCAAAGTAAACTAAGTAGATCATCCAAATATAATCAAAGAAGATAAGTAGTGAGCAAGTATTTTGATCATCACACAAATTAGAATCATTAAATTGTTATAAAATCTCTCCCTAGTATTATTCTCAACAAACGATAGTATGTAAATTGACAAAGGCTATGCCTTAAATTGAGCATAAAGAAAACATAGTAATTATGTAGCTAACCCTAAGTAATTAGAAAAAGGGTTGATTATTTTTGTAAATTGTCATAAAATCCTCTTACTAAGTAGCAGGATACATATTTTAAGATATATATATATATATATAAACTATGACAAGAGCGCTCTCTTGTGAACATGTGCAACATCCATTAAATCAAATGTGATACGATGTCACATATTTAATCCAATTCAACAGATTAGGGTGTGAGCTCATTGTGAAAATGCCCTCGTCACAACACGTGCTTGCAAAGTTTTTGTTGAATTTTTTTCAAAGCTAATCACGTTTAAGATAATTATAAAGTCCTTCCACACAGTAAAAAAAAAAAAAAAATTTCTTTACTCCGTTTCAACTTTCAGGACCAATCTTGATAATGTTTGTTCTTTTCTCCCAAGAGTCCAGTACTTGACATGAGTACATTAGATCCCTAGGATCAATTAATAAACATAATCTAATTTCCTATTCCTCTATTACATTCGCATGACCATTTTATGTTAGGTCGAATGTTATATGACATTACACATTTAATTTAATTCAACAAATGATGACGCAAACTTATTGGAGAGTGACCTCATCACAACCTTGCTCTTTTGAAATTATCTTACAATAAAATTCAAAGTTAATGGCGTTTAAAATAATTAAAAAGTCCTTCCACAGTAAAAGTAAAAGTTAAAAAGTACACTTTTCTCTGTTTCAAGCACCGATCTTCATTTTGTTTTGTTAGGACTACTTATTTATTTATTTTATTTTTTCTCTCAATGGTACATTTGACATGGCTTGCTCATTTGACCACTATGGCCAGTTAATGCACACAAAGTGACGGAAGCATAATCATGTTTGCCAAGACATTTGCTTTTCTTATCCCGGAGGTTCCAACCTTAAAAGCCGGAAAAAATAAAATGTAAATACGAGAATTTTTTTTTTTTAATAAGTAAAAAAAATAAATACAGTAATTTTATAATTATTTACATACATTGGTTAGCAATATCGTTCGATACGAGACGTATCAGTCGATACGCGATTCTTTTTTAAATTCGATAAGCGATTCGTATCGGTCAATTTACAATGACTTTGTTCGAATTCGTTATACCGGGACCGTAACTGATATTGCGAACATATGAAGTTAATTTATAAACAAGTATGCATGTGTAGTATGTACAAATATAGGTATATAAATATATATACACACACTTATATAAACATATATATAAATTTTTATATGGATATATATGTATAGGTGTAAACATTTGTACTGTATGTATCTGTGTAGCTATATATATGTTTGTGCTTGGTGGCCATTTGAGTTTCTGAGTTAATTTAAATAAATAAATAAAAAGACTTAATAAATATAAAAAACAAGTCATTCTGGTCTTGTAAGCTATTTGTTTTTGTGAAAATTGAAAATTGTTGAAAACATTTTAAATATATATTATTATACATTAAAAGTTCTAAACAAACGAAGCCTAATATAAAATCATTTTCCTTATTCAGTTGTTCAAGTAAAACTAGATGAATTGGAAAATTAACTTCTTCTTTTTTTCCCTTTGAGGGAGATTTTCGGGAAAAGGGCTAATGGGAGGAGAGCGAACTAGCTTTACAGATTCAAAATAAAAAATAATCTCTTCATATAGAAATAAAACTGTGTAAATTTGTCCTCTTCCAAATTTTACAATGACGTGAGCCTTATTTATTGAGCTAATCTCTTTATTTACATAAAAGTTAAAAATTCGAGTCTATGTTAGTTTACTTTATTCAAAAATTAATAATAATAATTCCTTATTACTTATCCAATTTCTATCACAATTAATTCCTAATTCCATTGGACCAGCTATTAGTGTCTTCTGACAAAAGTCTATTACCTAATATCAGCAAACTAATGAATACTAAGCTGTTTAGCCCATTGATTTATTAATTTGTCCCATTTGAATGGGCTTTGACGGGTCAATAATCACCATTGCAAAATCTGTCTTTTCTCTGGTGGAAGATTTGCCAAATCAATTGCCAAAACGGCCCCACTAATGCATATTCCAAAGGGTCCCACCTACCCAGCCATCGAAATCAAACCTAGTGCTCTTCTCATCAAGTTCTCAGAGGAAGTCAACCCATTGTGGTCCACTTCGTTTAAGCCCTTTGTGTGGTGTGAAAAAAGTCAAACAGCAGAGCAGAGGAAGAACAATAAGCTGCTCATTTTCCAGGACGGTATGCTTTCTACTCTCTCTCTCACACACACACACACACACACACAGAGCAACATGGACTGGAACCCCGCCACATGAATTCTTTTTCTCCGTTCTATTCGATTACACACAATGTTTCTTCTAAGATTTAATATTTTAAAATTAATTTTCAATTACGAAATTTCATATTAATTTTAACCGTCCTCGTTTTCTCAACGGGTCTACGTTTCTGTGTCCATATCACCTAAAGTCTATTTTCTCTTATTTTGTCACTAATTGACGTTATTCCTAGAGTTTTCATCACATTTTGATCAGTAACGCTATCTTTTCTAGTCACTTCTATCATCCACCTCAATATTCTCATTTCAGTCACGTGAATACGTTGGTATTAAGATCAAGAATAGCATGCATATTTGTGAGTGTGACACTATGTGAGGGAGCAAGACAGCCTAAAAGAACAGTGAGTGATTGCACTGAGAAGTAACAAGATAAGCATAAAAAAGGGACAATTATGTACTGGGAATAACTAGGTTCAAGAGAAAATCAGAATTGCTGTTTGGCTAATTTCAAACCTTGTCCGCGTAGCAGCAACAAAATCATGACTTTTATCCATGTACACAATCGTTTATCATATTTTCCTAGCACAAACATGACCAAAAAGAAAAACAATAAGCACCTTCATTAAAAAAACCCGGTCCGTCAAATAAGTAAAAACTCCAAGTCATCATCATTGGTCCCACTCCTCTTGTTGGCCTGACAGTCATGGGCTTGTGTAAGCTTCCCTATTCCGACTTTAAACATGCTCCATGCATCTACACATTTAAGCGCCAACAACCTTTTTCCCGAGCTGATGTGGGATGTCACACTCGCTAACAAAGAGAAAGTTGTTTTACTCTCGAGTCCCCCCATGTGTGACACAGGTGTGTTCGTGACAGCTCGGATTTGCTAGAGATTGTAATCATTCTTATCTTGGTGGAGAAGAACTCATGCTCAACAGAATATATAGAAACTATAGTGACAAAACCATAGAGGGTGCTCTATATGGAAGGGAAAATCAATGATAAGGAGAGTTCTCGACCAGAAGTTGACCTGGCTAGTGGGTAGTTTTTAGGAATAGTGAAGGCTCAACAAAAGCACTACATTCACAGTATTCAAGCATGAAATCGACCACGAGATTTGACTTTTAACGGACGAGCAAACAGCGAAAGGCAAGGAGAGAAAAAAGGGAATCGAAGAAAATTGAATATAAGGCCAAAAGGGTATTGGAAAAGGTTTCAAAAACAAACGAAAGTGGACAGCTGGAAGGGGAACTTATTACCTTTTTCAACTGGCATGCACAAAGAAAACCAAGTCTCTAATGGCATGAAATGTCACCAACTTTGCGCATGTCATCAAATCATTTGAAACCAGCACTCAGGACAGCGGGTTTGAGTGCCAAAGTTTCTAGTATATAACACAAGCCCATCAAGGTACAGTTCTTATGAGACGACTTGGAAATCATGTTTTCGGAAAATGTAGGTTGTGTTATTTCGCTAGATGGAACATACGCGAAGTGTAGAGGTGTCCAACAAAACACGCAGACTACCTGGAACTAAGGCATGTGGAAATAGCTGTTTTTGAATATAAGACTATGCACTAAGGTACACTTATGCTCAAAATGCATGTAACAATCAAATCATGCACAAATAAACATGTCCATATTGTGAGTAGGGTTGACGATAAAGCATATTACTGTTGAAAGCACATAATGAGAGAGAGAAAAAAAATTTAAGATCAATAACCCTAAAAGGTGGTGATGAAAAACAGATACCTTATGGACACCATGGACTGATATCAATTATTTGCCAACTTCTCAAAATCAGAAACCATAGAAGAGATTATTAAAAGGCCATAATCAACATTAGAACCCTAGCATTATAAGAAGTCGATGTTCTTACAGTTTTCGTTTGATGAGTCCTTGCTCTTGTAATATTTAACAATTGATGATCTAGAATAGGGACATCGTTTGGATATGGTTCTCGCGAGCTCTAGCTCTGTGCCTTCTCTTGAAAATATCTTGCCTGAATTTCTTGGTCTCTCCTCGTATCTCCATACAGGGCTCCCTCTCTATGCTTTCCTTTTCACTTTCTAACATCCTTTGCGTCTTTGCTACTAACAAGGCTGCATCCTCATCCTCCTGCTGTTGGTGTACAAACTCTTCCTACAGATACTTCTTTATAAACAACTTTGCATTTTGTATTCATCAAATCATGTAATATGCAGGCATGTATTCAGAATTTCATATATGATTTACTTGTGCTGCATCTTAAACATGCAACAATATAAACGTTGATAACATGCACCAGCCATTATTGGGTTGGTTATGATTTTTGAAAATTCACTTAAAACCAGATTTTTTTTCACAAACAAAATGGAAGTTTATAGGTTCTTGCTGGTTTTCCAAAATTTCCTTTTCAAGTGGTTCAAAATTTTCAATATAGAACCATTCGTGATTATACCAAGGGTGAAGCTGCTCTACAAAAAGCAAAATTTTGAAGTTCATGTGACAATTGTGGTCATTGTGGTTTGAAATAGAAGGTAGAAAAATACCTTGCCTTTGGCTCAAGTGAAATCTCCTTTTCCTCCCAAATGGGAGGTTGATTGTTTAAGTTCCCATAGGGGAACAATGGTTTGTGTGTAAGTTGGGTATGCGAGTATCTCACCTACTCAAAACAGAAGTGAAAGGTAGAGTACACAACACTTTTGACTTTACTTTCATGGTTCTTGTTCCTTTTATTTAAAACAACACTTCTGTGAATTTGTTCCACTTCACATTTACTCATCTCTACTTAGAGACACTTGTGCAATATAACAAGAAATAATCTAGGACGCAACATGATACCTACCAACTTGGAAAAGTGCATTAGAATTCCTTTAAGCAAACAGAAAAAATAAAAATAAAAATAAAAAAAATGAAACAAATACAATCCAGGCAAAATTATAAAGAGAGTCACAACATATGCTTAGAACAGTGTGAGTCAACATAGCACAAGGGAAGGTAGAGAATGGACCTGGAGATCACGAATGAGAGTGTCAAGGGATTTGATCTTCCTATGTGGCCAACGAGGAATCCCGAGTTCTCTGCACTTTTTCTTGAGTGCTGTGACTCCAACTTTCAAATTTTTTGAAGCTTCAATTATTGGAAGATCAAAGTACTTGACAATATCTGCCAAACTAAGTCTAGCTACATCCCTGGGTGTTGCCCTCTTTTTCTTCTTCTCTAAAGTACCTGCAGTTTTCCACTAATCTATAAGATGCAAACCTTGATCATAGTACAAAAACACTATAAAGGAAAAATATATATAACCTGGAATCGCAACTATGAATTAAGCAGTGCCATAGAGAGGTTCTCCCTAGTAAAACTGGATTTTTGTCCATTTTATTAGGTAGGCAAACCTATCTAGTTGACTTCTTTCTATAGAACGGAGTACTTCATAGTCATCACTACAGAAGTTCATCTCTTTCCAAAAAATTGTCAAAATGATACATGGTAGCCCTTGGAATGATCTAGAACATCTCTAGCAACATATCCTGATGCCTTAAATTTTATAAAGCAGCCAGCATCTTGCTTTCTTAAAAGACCATATAGGTTTAGCCTAGGAAATACTGAACAAAACTTAACTGATGTAGGTTTTACACTGGACTAACAAGTCGAGGGGGCTGTCAATATTCACTAGGTGTGAATTACAGAATTTTTTATGCTGGATGCATGCACGTCAAAAGGTTATTCATACTAGTTTAGTAGAAATATTACTGGTTGCCGCTGTTTTAAACATTATAATAAACCATTTTATCTTATGTGTTTACTCAAACTCTGTTACGTCAACAAATCTAATTGTAATCTTGGTCAATATATTTCAGTTTTTTCTTACGTTTTCAAGGTATATTTTAAGTACTACCTATACGTAAATATAATAAGCATATAACCATAATTCAAATTTCATGTCATCGAGGAGAAGATTTTTTCAACCTTTATATGTATTTTAATATTCTAATTTATACAATGTATCACAATTGTTATATGAACTATGTTGGCCTGTATGTACTCAATTTTTCTAGGAATGGAAACAAAAAAATTCAAAAAGTGAGAGCAGTTGAAATTAGGATGCTAACATGGATTAAAATTGGCACAACAAAAGTTAGAATAAGAAACAAATGCATTCCTGCAAAGTTAACATGACACCAGTAATAACATGGAAAACCTTTATAAGATGGTTTGTCTGCATGCAACCTAAACCGATAAATGTTCTGGTATGGAGAAACAATTCAATCCAAGTTGAAGATTCCAAAATGTTAAAAGGACAAAAGGCGTGGTTAGGGCTGCGTATAACATGACAGCCAGCATAAAACTTTTGTCAAGACAATATGAATATGAAACCTTATGTAGATTTGACTATAAAAAGGAGGATTCATGTAGTCGATTCCAAGTAATTAGCATTATGCTTTATTGGGTTGGATAAATTGTAAATGTGAAGTAAGTACTTGTGGTTGTCAATATGAAATGTGGGTATATATATATTATAAACTCAGCCCATAGCAGGAATTTTAAATTAGGATAGGCTAGTTATAGAACATTCTAATTAATAAATTACCAAGTTAACATAATTAATACAAAATGGATGGAATATACAAAAGTCCACACATTGAAGTTAATTAAAAGAGAAGGACCAAATATGTGAGATATGATGTGGTATCTGATAATAATAAACAAGATAGGCATTATTACTGCTGCAATAAAGAAGAGATCACACAAGATACCTTAGGCATTGTGCATGTTTATTTATTTCTATATTTTAACAATGGTAATACAATATAAATTCCATCTTATGTCTTTTAGTTTAGGTATTAAGAGTACTTTATTGTGGAATTGTGAGATGAAGACAAGGATCATTCCTTACAACTGGCATGCGGGGTTAAGGCTGCGTACATCTAATCCTTTCTAGATCCCGCAAAGGAAGGAGCCTTGTGCACTGAGCTAGCCCTTTAGACAAGGATCATTTTTATTTTACTCTGGCTTAAGGAGCATATAAACGACATACTAAGCAAAAGCGTGTAGACTCAAAAGAAGGGAGAGGAGCAAAAGCTTAGGAATATCTTGTGTTTCATTGGTTGGCTCCCTTAGGCTTAAAGGAGAATTAGGGAAAGGTAAAAGGTACTCCATGGATAGTTCATAGGTCAACGGTCAACAGCTTTTACTTTGAAGAGCTTCAAACAGAATCGTACTCCCTTTGCAATCCATCAACTTCATGTCTTTCCTTTATCCAACCTTGCTTCACAAGGTAGACCAGTAATAACATATGCCGGGTTGCTTTGGGAGAAACAACACAACCTAAATGAGCTCAATTTTCCTTCGTACTGACACTTCTTTCATCTCTCTTCACAAGGCAATGAAATAGTCGAATAGTTTCTCATAGAGTCTGCCCAAGTCTTTGACCTTCAGAAAGTGCATATCTTCCAATAACTTCTCTTTAAAGGTTGGGTCAAGTACCATCCACCAACTCAACAAACAGAGAGAAGCAGTCTCAGCTGGATAATTAAGAAAATTTTATTAACTTTTTCATATCGGTAAAATGAAAGCCAAGCACTAATACTCTATTGATTGTTAGCCCATGCGTCCTAACTTGCTAGCCTTTCATGAGAGAGTATGCCAGTATGTAATAATAAGGGGTGTGGTTTTATAATTGACATCTGTTAGGCTTCCCCATTTTTAGCCTATATCCCAATATTTTATGGTACGATAAACCTCTTGCATTTCAGCTGCTAAATTCAAATAATAGCATTGTTGTAGTCTTCTAGAAGTTTCTTTCAATATCTGTATATTAAGTCATTGATTTTCAAAAAGATCCTACCTCCAAACATATGCTGCATTGGCTTACTACTCCAACTTCTCAAACTAGATTATTCTCTAATGGCTAGGTCAAGTAACCTTGCGCAGAAACCACTAATGGAGAGAAGTGCACAATAGGATCTAGACAAATTTAAAAATTAAAATTAAAAATCTATGTGTAAGAATAAAAGCTCCGCACCAAAGCAATCTCATTTAATAGCCACAGCATCTTCAGTTGCTTGCTGACTTAATTTGGAGATTATAATGGGAGAAGAGTGGCTGAGACGTTGACTGCCTTCGATACTAGAAAATATAACCCAAGAATTGACCAAACAGGAACCGGGGATCAAAGTTAGTGAATCGTCTTCAGCAACGTATGGCATTCAGGGTCTGAACCCAGGGAGAAATCTTTCTCCATGGATACAAGACATTCGTTGCTGATCTAAAAAGCCTTTTATCCCATGGGCATTAGCGGATTCAAAATGTTAGACCAATCACAGGGATGACACAACCAAATTGGTTGAGGAAAAGGAAACCCCAGCGACCAAGCAAATATGGCCTCGTAGAGGTGCACAGTTATTGTACAACTGCCATACGTTGGCTTCCCTCTTTAGGAGATTATATCCCGAGTTCCAATAGTATCTCTCAGTATATGTTTCATTGATCTTTGCGAAGTTCATCATTTTGAACATATGTTTGATTGGCTTACCATCTTTAGGAGCTAATATCCCAACTTTTAATAGTTTCTCTCCCTATTTATAACATTGATCTTTGAAAAGTTCACGCCTTTGAGCATATGTTTGGTTGGCTTACTACACATACTTCGTTGACTTAAATAATTTATAAAGGCTGGGTGAAGTTGACTTTTACCGGCTCTAGAAATGGATAGAATCGTACAATCAGATATGAAGAAATTAAGAAACATTAACTTTTCCTAGCATTAAAAAGAAAGCTACAGTTTCTTATCCTGCATCTTCGCTAACTTTCTTGCTTCTATGGGAGAGTATGCTTTATGTCGGTGTAATTCTAACTTCTCTATAAATAAAGAGAATTGCTGATCAAAGCAGGACAAACTGAAAAAAGCCATAAGCTCTTCATAGCGTTGAAACAAAAGCTATGCACCATTGCTATCGGTTAGCTCAAGAATCTTGACTACCTTGCTTGCTTTTGGGAGATCATGCCAATATGATATGAATAAATGATGTTTGCCGACATCCACCTTTCTAACAGCCTATATTCCAATCTTATTGTGCAACTGGGTAAGTATTGGATAAATTTAAATTCATAGAACGATGTCATTATTATGGTTTCTCTCTATATATGTCACGTCTTTGATCTTAATAAATGCACGCCTTTTTGGATAATCAATTCTTTTCTAATGACTAGGTAAAGTGGCTTCCACTAACTCAACAAATGGAGTGAAACACGCAAGCAGAGCTGAACAAAATAAGGAAATTTCATAAAATTCTTGTGGAGTTAAATTGAAGGCTATGCACCGATGTTCCTATCTAATTGTGACGTCCCACATCGTCACCTGAGGGAAGAAGTTGTTGGCACTTACAAGGGGGATGCCTCCAACATGTGTAGACGTGTTTTAAAACCTTAAGTGCAAAGAAAACAATATTTGCAGTGTGAGGGTGTCCTGACAAATGGTATCAAAACCAATACCTAGCCGAAAAATGGGAAGAGTGTGCACAAATCCATGAGGGTCACTCTAACCTAGGTCGCAAGAGGGGGTGATTGTGACGTTTCACATCGCTTAGGGGGAGAAATTGTTGGCACATATAAGGGGGATGCATGCTACCTCTGTAGACGCGTTTTAAAAGTGTGAGCACCAGGAAGGTACAAAACAGACAATATATGCACAATGTGAGGCATAACCTAACAAACAATGTCAGCGGAATCTGATAGACAATATTAGAGCCAATCCCCATAGGGCCAACGAGGACGCTAGGTCCTTGGAGAGGATAATTAAGACGTGCCACACCTCCTGGGGGAAAAGTTGTTGGCACTTATAAGAGGAACGTCACCTAGCAGTGTAGACGTGTTTTAAAACCGTCAACTTTAAGGGGTACAAAACGAACAATATGTGCATAGTGTGATGCGTGTCACAATACTAGCCCAAGCGTCGCTACTAACTAGCTTAATATCTCACTTTTGTGTAATAAAAAGGTCACCATAAATTCGGTTGTTATATTCAAATAACAATATTGTCTTAACACGCAAATGCACACAAAAGAAAAGAAAAAAAGAATAGAAAAAAAAAAGAATTACAGACATTCATATTAAGTTTATATTAATGTGTGAACCCCCTCATTTCCTTTTCTGTAAGTATTGATAGATTAAATATTTGTTAGACAAGTGATACCCCAAATGGCTACAATTAATTAAGAGTCTTACTTTTGCCAATAATGATTGTTCTTTTAAAGATATATGTGTATATGTCATAGTTAAAAGGTGAAACACCTTACAATCTTGTATTGGGAGTTAATTCAGGGATTTGATCTTATCTGATATTATCTTCATCATCTACGCTTATGTTAGAGCTTTGGGGTTGCTGTTGGAATAAAAAAAGTACTTTTATCAGTAAAGCTGTAAAAAGCATGTTTGGTGCGGTGACAGTGACGGGATGGCAATTTACCCCAACCCATTGGGGAACCGCCCCGCCCCCGCCCCGTTTAAAGCGGGTTTGGAGAACCGTTTATTTAAATGGGGTGGGGATGGGGGTTGGAAAAAAAAACCGGCCGGATTCGGGGCAGTAGCGGGGGAGGGGTACCCCCGCCCCGATTACATATAAAATTACTCCTATTAGCCCCTACCATGTTATTGTACTTACCAATTTAACATATTATATATATATATTTATATATATATATATATTTATATATATATATATATCATATTATATTATATTATATATACACTTCTAAATAAATCCTACTTAGTCCTATATTCTAAAGCGGCAGCCGAGAGATGAGAGCCTGAGAACGAAGCTGTGAGTGACGCGACGAAGTGAACATCCTATGGCTTCAGATCTTCTCTCTCTTCTTCTCCAGCCACAGATCTCCACAGCCTTAGCCGAGTGATGAAGCGAATCAACACCATCATGTGACCTCCTTCAGTCCTTCACCATATTCTCTCTTCTTTTCCGGCCACAGATCTCCGATCAATGCTAAGACCCTAGTCATATACATACATACATACATACATATATATATATATTGAAGTAACAAGTTCTACCTTTTCACAGTTGGGTTTTGTTTTCACAGTTTGATTTGATCATCTAGTTCTCTTTCACAATTTGATTTTGTAGCAATAAGAATCCGAAAAAACCCTCAAATTTAATCGGGGGCAGGGCAATGGCGGGGCAAGTGGGGATGGGGTGGGGGCAGTTATGGGGATTAGGGGTAAAAAAAATAATCAGTTATGGGGCAGTTTTGGGGGTGTCAAATTTAAACGGGGACGGTGATGGGGATGGGGATGGGGATGGGGAATGAGAAACCCGCCCCATTGCCATCTCTAGGTGACACATTATAATAAGTACTTTTCACAATTAATTATTTTTAAATTTATTTGGTAACAATATTATTTAAAACACTTGTATTAGTAATTTTACAATAATATCCTTTAATAGGATGTTACCATATTTGATAATAGCAACTTTTTTAAGTAAGGAGTGTAATTGTCTTTATAAAAAATAAAAAGGATAAAATTATCTAATGAAAAAGAGTTTTTTTAAATATTCACCCTTTACTCACAACGCAGTTTTGAAAGCTCTAAATTCTAGCTTCATTCAAAAGGTCTATTGAGATAAATTTGGTAATTATTAAAAGCGCTTTTAATGGTTACCAAACACATCTAAACGCAATTTCTCAAAATAAAAGCTCTTTTAAGTAGTAGAGAAGCGACCCCAAATGGGCTAATGCATAGATGTTAAGTGATTTGGTTTACTTAACATTTATGTAATTCTCAGCTTGTAATATACTTAGAAGTATGGCTAATGAGATCATAAGTTAATTACAACCTTTCACATTCAACTTGGTATCAGAGCCAAGTTCACAACACACCCCACCAATGTTACATCTCTACTTCATCTTCTCTTGGTTCATCCTCTCCGCTTTCTATCTTCTTTAAATTTTAGTCACCAACAACTAGACTCCATCCAAGCAAACCAAACCCCTTCGGGGGTATTTTCTTTTTCACTCCATCGCTTTAGCGATAGAGAGGGATCTCTCTCTAAACCAACGACTGGCTCTTATGCACCATTGACAAAGGTCAATACATGAGAGCTGCTCATTCGGAAGACTTCTCTATCCCCTGCAATTTGCTGGATGGGGCTTTTCTAGTCCTTGAGACCTGCGGACAGAAGCACTTGTGGATCGTAGTGTTTGCGATTTGCGATTAGGTGGGAATCTGCAATCTGGTCCTGGAGCATCACAGTTTGAGAAATGGCATCTATTGAGATTAAGGATAATATATCCTATGGGCACATTTCCCAAGCCTAAACGATCACTATAGTTTTATTAGATGGAAAAAATTTCCCGTGTTGAGCAAGATCAATTAGACTTTATTTAGGGAGTCTGGGTAAAATTGGATATTTATTGGGCATTGTTAAAAAATCAGCACCTACTAAACCCACATGTAATCAGTAGGACATTGATAATTATACCATTCTTGGGTAGTTATTCAACTCTATGGAGCATCGCTTTTATAATATGTTCATGTATCACGAAACTGTACACCCTTTATGGACAGCCCTCACTTAGAATTATGTCTATGCCCGCAATGACACCTGGATCTATAAGTTGCACCTAGACATCGCACGGACTACCCAGAATGATCTCAATCTGTCAATTGCAGATTATTTTGCCTCCCTTCAATCACGTTGGGAAGAGCGTGCTCACTATGAGTCCCTTGGGGTATCTCAACAGAGGCTCCAAGGATTATTATGGCCAAACACAAGCGGTCTCACACTTATAGTCCTTATGGGACTCTGTCCAGAATTTAAGTCCCTTCGCACTCAAATTTTGCAGAGGCGGAGTACCGTGCCATGGCTCATGGCACTTGCAAGATCATCTGGCTTTGTTTCCCATTGACTGAGCTAAGATTCCCTACCACTAGTTCATCGACACTCTTCTGTGACAACCCATCTGCTATTATGCTTGCATCTGACTCCGTTCTTCATGAGAGGACCAAGCATATTGAGGTTTATATTCGCGCTCTAGAGTTATCCGTACTTCCTTCGTTTCCTCTACTAATCAGCTTGCCAATACGTTCACAAAGTCTGCCCTCCGCTCTGGTATTGGCAAGTTGGGCTTAGTTGATATCTTTGCTCCACCTTGAGGGGAGTATTGCGAATTAATTCAGGGATTTGATCCTTTGGGAGTTAATTCAGTGATTTGATCTTATCCAATATTATTTTCATCATATGTTAAAGGCATGGGATCAGTGATTTGATTTACTTACCATTTATGTAATATGATATAAGTAGGAGTATGGCTAATGAGATCAGAAGCTAATTACAGCCTTTCACATTCAATATCTTGGAGGCAAGGCATAAGCCTCGGGGTATTAGGTCTAAGGCATTTGTTTCTACTTCTTTTTCATTTTTAAGAAATAGAAATAATAAATAAAATTGCTAGAGAAATAAGTAAATAACAGTATATTACAATAAATTTTAAAAAATAATAATAAATAAATAAAAGTCAGACATTTAAGAGCACAGTAGAATACTTTAAAAAAGAATAATGATTAATATTTGGCTGGTCAAATTAATGAAGACTTACAAAAACAAGCATCACAATGTTCAATCAAGAAACTTGTTTAATAACAAAAGATATATAAGAAGTAAACGTATAAATATTAACCAAAAAAACATTTTGGCTAATCTGAATTCTGAAGAAAAGAACTAATTGCAGGTTAAGAGGCATAGGCCTCGCAAGCCAAGGTGTCAAAAGGTAAGGAACATCTTTTATTATGTTTTAGCTCATGAGGTTTCATCGAGACCTTGGCTAGAAGTTATTAAGCTTCGAGGCATTTGAGTATTATCTTGCCTTGAGGTGATCCTTTAAGGAGACTGAGACATTGAAGTATGTGTGTGCAAGCGCAAGTATGTATGAATAGTGAGAAAATTTTATGACAAAAGAAAATGGTGAAACAAAAAGGAACAAATATCCTCCACTGAAAACAAAAGAAAATAGCCATAAACAATGCCAAAATATCAAATACTAGCATAACAAAAACTAAACAGAAGCAAATCCAACAAGAAAGGAATTGAAAAACAAAATAGGTCTCCTCATTTTGGAGCAACTCGTTTAGCTTAGGAACCAGTTTCCAAATTAACAGAACAAGACTCTCAACTAAAACAAGAAGTTGATGAACTCGATTGCTATATTACTGTCATGGTTCAAAGTCGCGGTAATCGGGCACTGACCAGGGATCCCCCAAGATGACTTCATTGCAGATTTATATTGGTCTATATGCTGCTGTTTTCTATTTATAAGACAAGAAGATCATAAGAAAAAAGCAACCCACATTTACAGATACAAGGACTTTCATGCGTAAAAAAGGTTTGTTCCTCTAATTACTAGAAAATAGGAAGTTAAGAAAGTTAACCTGCTGTACCTTGGTCACTTTCTTCATTTTCAGGTTCTGGATAAGGAAGATTAAGATCCAAAGGAAACATATGGGGAGCGCTTCTAAATTGAAAACTACCACCAATGCTCTGTTCATCAATTACATCAGGTGTAATTTGAGATGGTTCTCCATTTTCTGTTCCGCAGCCTAACTGGAAAATGATTTCAAGGTCATTGGCCAATGTCGGAATTGATGCCAGCTTAGGATTTCTGAAAGGCAAAAGCATGTCATGAAAAGAGTCAATTAGGAATGTGACTGGCAATAAATAAAAGTATCAAAATAATTTCGAGGTTCGGAATAATCAGAGATATTGACAGATACATAGAAAGAAAATGTTAATGTGGAATAATAAAACAGGATTTATAAGCAAGAACAGGTTTTGTAGATATGAAGAAATTAGCATATCAATTAACATGAAATTCTTGTTGGCAACTTGCAACTTGACAATGAGAACAATCAGGAAATACAACTTAGAAGCCAAAAAGGCTCAGAAAGTTTCTATAAACCTAAACCCGACCCGGGCCACTCATTATTTTGGTTGGAAGGAGGTCTAGGTTTATTTTAAGCTTAAAAACAACCTCCAAGGGTTGGACAGGATGGAAAGCGAGGTGTAGAAGAATGGAACATTAAATTCAGTTTCAATATATATAGAATGGAGGAGTTCCGGGTCATAAATATTGAACCAGTGTGTTATGATTCAAAATTTTCAACACTCAACTTGATTGTAAAATGAGCAAGTTCATCATGATATATAGAGAATAATGACAAACAGAGAGATACAAATGAATCATCCTAGATATTCAACTAAACTCAACAAAGCCTTTTCCTAACCAGTTAATCATCATATATATGGTAGAAAAAGTGAAGAGTGGCTAACTCAATTCAGTCAAACAATCAAGAAGATAACACATTTCATCGAAAGTAGAAACGCATGCAGACATTATTACCATCATGGGATTCATAGGAGTAAGAATTGGATTTTTGCAAAAGTAGAAAATATATTACAAAAAAAATGAAAAAATAAACAAAAATGTAAAATTGGCAATGGGATAGTTGGAAATTGAAAGCATAGAAGGAATGTGGTCGAAATTGGTTCTAAAATATGTAAGTTCACCATGATCATATAGAGAAGAATGACAAACAGAGAGATACATGTAAATCATCCTAGATAATTAACTAAACTCAACACAGCCTTTTCTTAACCAATTAATCATCAGATATATGGTAGAAAAAGTAAAGCATGGATAATTCAATTAGGTCAATCAATCAACAAGACAACACATCTCATCCCAAATCTAGAAAGTCGAAATGCATGCAGACATTATTATCATCACGGGATTCATAAGAGTAGGAATTCTGTACAGTGTACTTGCAAAAGTGGAAAAGATATTCTCAAAAAATGAAAAAATAAACAACAATGTAAAATTGGCAATGGGGTACTTGAAAATTGAAAGCATAGGAGGAATGTGGTCCAAATTGGCTGTAAAGTATGTAAGTTCACCATGATCATATAGAGAAAAATGGCAGAGAGATACAAATAATATAATCAACCAAACTCAACAAGGCCTTGTCCTAACCAATTAATAATCACATATATAGTACAAAAAGTGAAGAGTGGCCAATTCAATTAAGTCAATCAATCAACAAGATAACACATTTCATTCCAAATCTAAAAATTAGAAATGCATGCTGACATTGTTATCATCATATGATTCATAAGAATATGAATTGGGTACTTGCAAAAGTGGAAAATATATTATCAAAAACCCGAAAAAAAATAAGCAAAAAATGTAAAATTGGCAATGGGGTACTTGGAAATTGAAAGCATGGAAGGAATGTGGTCCAAATTGGTCGTAAAATATGTAAGTTCACCGTGATCATGTAGAGAAGAATGACAAACAGAGAGATAGATATAGATCATCCTAGATAATCAACTAAACTCAACAAAGCCTTTTCCTAACCAAATAACCATCACATATATGGTAGAAAAAATGGAGAGTGTCTAATTCAATTCAGTCAATCAATCAACAAAGATAACACATTTCATCCCAAATCTAGAAATTAGAAACCTCATGCAGACATCTTTATCGTCATGGGATTCATAAGAATATGAATTGGGTACTTGCAGAAGTGGAAAAGATATTATCAAAAACCCAAAAAAAAAAAAAAAAAAAAAAAAAAAAAAAAAAAAAAAAAAATGTAAAATTGACAATGGGGTACTTGGAAATTGAAACCATAGAAGGAATGTGGTCCAAAAAATACGCAAGTTCACCATGATCATATAGACAAGAACAACAAATAGAGAGACACAAATAAATCATCCTAGATAATCAATTAAACTAGACAAAGCCTTTTCCTAACCAATTGATCATCACATATATGGTAGAAAAAGTGAAGAGTGGCTAATTCAATTTCTGTCAATCAATCAACAAGATAACACATTTCATCCCAAATCTAGAAAGTAAAAACACATGCAGACATTAATATCATCATGGGATCCATAGGAATATGATAGTAATTGCAAAATGGAAAATATAGAGAAAAAACAAAAACAAAAAAAAATGTAAAATGGGCAATGGGGAACTTGGAAATTGAAAGCATAAAAGGAATGTGGTCCAAATTGGTTCTAAAGTATATAAGTTCACCATGATCATATAGAGAAAAATGGCAGAGAGATGCAAATAAAATAATCAACTAAACTCAACAAGGCCTTTTCCTAACCAATTAATAATCCCATACATAGTAGAAAAAGTGAAGAGTGGCTAATTCAATTCAGTCAATCAATCCACAAGATAGCACATTTCATCCCAAATCTAGAAAGCAAAAACACATGCTTATATCATTATCATCATGGGATTCATAAGAATATGAATGGGGTACTTGCAAAATGGAAAAAATATTACCAAAATCTGAAAAATTAAGCAAATATGTAAAATGGCAATGTGGTACTTGGTAATTGAAATCAGAGAAGGAACGTGATCCAAATTGGGAGGGCAATGACAATTGGCGTCGAACACATAAATGCAGAGCCAAACACCATTCATTTTGCCTTCATGCTGTTTCGAAAGCTCAAACTTCTCTAATGTAAGAACTCTGTACAGCCCAGTTTCCTCATAAGCACTGTACTTGTTGAAAACATACTCCCTCTCAACTTGCTCATCCACCACCCCCTTCTTCAATTGATACATATGCACACTCCTGATCAGCTCTGCAAAACACACATACCCAACAAAGAAAACAGAGAGAACAACATAAAAAAACAACCAAACAAATCAAACAACTCAACAAGAACTCAATCTCCTGGGATAACAAGTACAAAATTGGTTTCGGAACAAAAACCCATATGAAGATTTTGAGTTTTATCATGCAAAAATCAACAAAAACACCAACATTGTGATCTGAAAAAATTCAACAACTCAACAGGAACTCAATCTCCCGAGATAAAAAGTATAAAATGGGGTAACCCAGATGAAATTTTTGAGTTTTATCATGCAAAAATCAACAAAAACACCAATATTGTGGTCTGAGAAAAATCAAACAACTCAACAAGAACTCAATCTCCTGAGATAACAAGTACAAAATCGGTTTCGAAACAAAAAACCCAGATGAAATTTTGAGTTTTATCAAGCAAAATTCAACAAAAACACCAACATTTTAGTCTGACAAAAAATCAAACAACTCAACAAGAACTCAATATTCTGATATACCAAGTATAAAATAGATTTCAGAACCAAAAAATCAGATGCAGATTTTGAGTTTTATTATGCAAAATTCAACAAAAACACCAACATTGTAGTCTTAAAAAAATCAAACAACTCAACAAGAACTCAATCCCCTGAGACAACAAGTACAAATTTGGTTTCAAAACAAAAAACCCAGATGGAAATTTTGAGTTTTATCATGCAAAATTCTACAAAAACGCCAACATTTTAGTCTGACAAAAAATCAAACAACTCAACAAGAACTCAACCTCCTGAGACAACAAGTACAAAATCGGTTTCCAAAAAAAACAATGAGCTTTATAATGCAAAATTCAAGAAAAACACCAACATTGTAGTCTGAAAACACCGCCATTGCAGAATTGTCTAAACAAACAAAGCAAAAAAAACTCAATCTTCTGATATACCAAGTATAAAATCGGTTTCAGAACAAAACAAAAAAAAAAACCAGATGAATATTTTGATTTTTATCATGAAAAAATCAACAAAAACACCAACATTGCAGAATTGGCTAACCTGGATATAAAACGTTCCTGAAGACAACAAGAGCTTTGAGAGAACAGGATTTTGAAGAAGCCATTGTTGAGCAGAGAAGCGGAGATCACGAAGTGTTTGGTTTGGTGTGGAGGAAAGCAGTGAGAGAGAGAGAGAGAGAGAGCATCAGGACGAAGGAAGCGGAAATTGAGGGATTTAAAGAGGCGCCTTGCATGAGTCTCCAGTGTCACTTCACAGCGAGGAGAGAGAAAGTGGTTGTTTACTTCCATTGTCGTTTTCTCGAGTTCACTCAGCTTTTCTTCCTGGTTTTGATCTATTCTGAATTTGTGACTTGACAGTAGTAAAACCCCATTTGATCATTTTTTGTGATATGACAATAATAGCCCATTTGATAATCTCTTCCTCTGTTCTTTTTTTTTTCTCTCTTTTTGAGCTAAATGCCTTTTTTCTTTTTCTTTTTCTTTTTTTTTTTTTTTTTTTTTTTTTGCAACTTTTAGCTCTTCAAATATTTTTTACATAGGAGATGTGGCATTTTATTTTCAATAGTAAACATATGAAATGCTCGATGCAATCAATTATTTTAAATAAATAATTTCAGTGAAATTTTAATTTTTAAGATATAAAAATATTGTTTAATAATTCAACAAAAATTGATTGTAAATGAAATAATTATTATTCCATTTAAATGTGTTTGATGACGCACTTTGCTACGGAGTATTAATTAAAAGAAGAGTGAACATTTAAAATTCAAACAAGTATCATCTAAGAGTAATTATAGTTTAGTACTTAGAATTTAAACGTTTAAATATAAAATTTATCAAACAACATCGAAGTTTCATCACTTTTAATTTAAAAAAAAATGATATAATTACTCTTCAAAATAGAATGTAAATAATATTTTTTCAAATGATTACAAGTGCTTTTAATTAATAATTGTGGCATATGTTTTTTCATAAAGATGAAGAGAAAGCGTTAGGAATACTTTTGTTGAGTGCAAATAATATGTTCCTCGGCTTATTGACCTACCATCCAAATCCAATATATTTTTTTTACTTTTTTTTATTTCATATAAGATTAAAATAATGTTTAATAAATTATAATAATTTGCAAAAATAGCAAAGTATAGATAAAAGATTTGAGTTATCACAATGGGAATCATAGTAATTTATGAAAGAAGTATAATTATCATCAAATTTCTTGATGCTTTATGATTGACTAAAAAGAAAATTGATTAAGCACATCAAATAGCTCTCGAAATAAGCTGGTAAACAATCAGACCAATTTCTGAAAATTGAAAACACCATTTGAGATATCCAAATAATGCCAATAACATTTTTATTAAATGCTAGGGAATATAATGAAAGCACAAGGGTAGTTAGGTAACTACGTGTTTTTGGAAGCTCTCTTCCTCGGAAATATAAAAGAATCACATTCATGGATATCCAAGTTCATGCAAAATGTCACTCCATCTCATGGACAGAGTGAGAAAATAACAAAAAGGTGGGTAAGATAAGTCAATAGGATTTTTTTTTTTACTGAACTACCCTGATAGAGACCCAGAATTTTACCAACGCAATATTGACATAATCTGTAGGGGTGTTAATGTCAATTACAAATTCTATTCACCCGCGAAAGCCGCCAAACGAACCAACTACCTTGGTGCATGTTGGCGAAGTGTCGACCTAAAAGTAAATGAGAATCTTGTATTGTTCCATTAGCCTTCTTTGATGCAAAAATAACAAAGATGCCACTCACGGTTGCAAATTGTCTAATTGTCTGGTTATGGATCAACTACATTTTCTATTTATAGGAGAAAGTGCTAATGGGACTTGGCAATTGTTAGCTTTTTATTCACTTTTTCCCAAAATAAAAAATTAAGTATAATTTAACTTGGTAGATAGAACTCCAAATGAATGGGGTTGTTTAGACTTATTCGTTAAGCAAACGAGTCGAATTTAAACTTGATTTTTATGCTTGTTTAGTAAACGAGTAGATACTAAACAAATATTAGGTTCGTGACCATAAGTTGATATAGTCTCGTATATATTCGTGAACATAGAGGATCATGAAAACGATCTTGAATACGAATTCAAATAAAGCCAAACAAATTTTATTATCAAACAAGCCGAGCTCGAGTTTTTCAAGAATACTAATGAGCCGAGTACAAGCCCAGCTTTCTTTTTGAGCTCACCACAATCCCGAGTTGAGACCACGGAAGAATGAGCCTAGCCCAAGTAATTCAAACTCGACTCAACTCAATTCATTTGCAACGACCCAACTTAGTTCATTTGCAATCCTAATTTGGAGACACTAAGGTGTGTTTGGTAGGGTTGATTTGGAGGGATAAGGAGAGAGAAGAAAAGAGAGGATAGTGTGAAAGTGTATTTGGGTGGGTTAAGGGAAGAGAAAAGAAAGGATAGGGAGGGATAGTAAGTTATTAATTATTAATTCCAGAATTGCCCTCTACAAATCAACATATAGAAAAGTAATTCTATTTATGTCCCAATATGCTTAGTGGAATGCAAGGATGTATGACAATGCTAAAAGTTATTAAAAAATTTAGGATGGGAAGGGATTGAGTCAGATAGGTATAATAGATACAACAAAAATAAATTTTTCACATGCCCATAAAAAAGGTTAAAGACTGTTATTACCTTCAATCATGTTGAATGGTTCATCTTAGCCTTGCGATACTTTTTCTTTTTTATTTTTATTTTTTACTTTACCCATGGCATTAAACTATAAAAAAGAAATAAGATTTTGAAAATGGATAATGTTTGAAGTGATTATGAAAGGGTAGAACAGTAATTTGGTAACTATCCTTTCTTTTCTTTTCTCTCCTCTATCGTATCCAAACAAAAATAACTATCCTTTCTTTTCTTTTCTCCCTTATCTATCCAATCACAAATATAAATTATTAAAAAAAAACAAAAATAAATTTTCTTTTCTTTTATTTTCTCTTCTAACTAATATTTTCCTGATGCAAAGCTATTTAGTGCTCCACACTTCATTCTTTTCATTCTACGTGGTATGATAAATTTTCATGGTGGTACCAAAAAATTTACAAGTGCTTTTTTTGGTTCTATAAGAGTCGTGAAAACATAGTAATGTTATTGATTTGATTGTCCTACTAAAACTTTTAGAACATCCCATGGCTCAGTAATGAGATTGATCTCTATTAAAAGTAGACTATCCAAAAAACAATGTCACACCTAAAAAGAGAAAATTGAGTTCATGTCATTTATTCATTGTGTTTATAAACTAAATTGTCATTAGAGTCTTGCAAAGAGTATGTAATGGTCAAACAAAGCCCCCTACCAGGAAAAAATATTGAACACCCAAAGCACGCAACAATTAATACACTATTTTCCTTCATGATAAGAAATAACAACTAATTTTACTACATTCTCCATACCCAGAGTACTGAATACTTCCTGCGGAAACTTATCATACAGTCGAAGCAAAAATAAAATCACAGCCGTCTGATTAGAACAATCAGCTTTTGGTTTCTATTGCCCGCCAAAACCAAAAATAATTTCACATGGACAATAACACCATATGACATAAAGATTGCTAGATATCCAATAACAAGAAACTTAGATGAGTCAGCCTTGAACCTGTAAATACTACCAAGTGCAAGTTTAACAGTACTAAAAATCCAGAGAAACATAACTAAAATTCATATCCAAGGAACAACAGATTATAAATCTCACCATCAAAGTTGGACGCAGACAACCCTAACAGAAAATTTAGTACCACAATAGAAAATTCCCGAAAAGATCTGAGAGAAAGAACAGGCACCACTGCTGCTGGTGCGATTAACCACAAACTGGGCATGAACATCACAAAACAATGCCCTTCATCACTGCCGTGATCTTGACTCAGCCCGTCTAGCTTCATCTGGTGTTGAAGGAAACAGCTCCACATATCGCGGCCCAATTGTCATCTTGTCCTTGCACATTGCTTTCTTAGCCTCCTCAGCTGAGTCAAATTCTACATAAGCTTCTCCGGTAACTTTTCCATCCGGACGGCACGCAATGTGTATCTTCTTATCTGCCAGCTTGAACTCTCCAAAGAATTCCACAATATCAGATTTCGTTACAGAAAAGGGGAGACCACGCAACTTCAAAATCTCAGTGTACTCCATTTGGTCCTTGTCGTGTGACCTTGTCGTAGTAGATTGAGAAGGACGAGGGCTTCCATAGAAGTCATTATCGTAATTCACCTCAGCAGCAACAGCACGGTAATAATCCTGCTTCTTGCACCTGAAAACCTCCACATATCTCCTTCCCATATTCTGCCGATCCCTCTGTAGAGCAAACTCAGCCCGCATGGATGAAGCAAAAACCACAAAAGCCTCTCCTGAGAACCGCCCTTTCTTGTTCACCAACAGCACGTCCACTATGTCCAGCCCAGCAAAGAACTTCAAAATGTCAATATCGGTGCAGTCGAAGGGCAGACCCCTGAGATGAACCACCGGAAATGTGGAGGGCTGAAATCCACCAACATAGCCATAAGGCTGGAAGCCACTTGAACTGCTGCTCACTGCGAAGTAGGGATTTGATTCCATCATTCTTTGTCTCTTCGAGCCAACCTCGTACCCGTCCGATACCCCCCCGCTTCCCAACATTGCCCTTCAATTATTCATACCCAAAAGAAAGAAAAAAATCCCCCACTCAACCTCGTTAATAAAACCAAACCCAACCCATTTTTACCTAGTTTCTTTGTTACTTTGTTATTTTTCAAAAAGCATTTTCAAATATTTTCAACCCTCCTACAAATATACACATGAAATCCACAGGTAAAGCAATATAGTGAGGAAACATGACACATGGTGACCCAAGCCAGCAATGGCTACAACTCAACTCAGCAATGCTATCAGGAAGGACCAATCAATAGAAGGTCTCTAGGATCAAAGCACAGATAAATATCATACCCAGAATTCAAATAAATTGAGGTTTGGCTCGTACAATTTATTAATTGGACGCAACACTGACATACGAGCAATGAATAGACAACATTACTGAGCAAAGATAGTATGATATGGAATAAGCTGTTTTGGAGCCATCTAGTGCCATGTTTCCTCAACACAATACCTCAGAGAACACAAAAAGACAACAAATGCCAATATTTAAACATAAAATTGGGTACAAGCATCTAATGAAATGAATCAAATCCAACAGGCAACAGAAAGGCACACAAACGAAGAGAGAAACATTTATAAAATGAGTCAAAAATATTGTAGAGAATAAGAAAGAACTACAAATTAATAGATATTTCCTTAGACAAAGCTAAGACAAGACAAAGGATTCATCTTGCCAACACCAAGTAACCAAGATAAGGCTTACTAAAAGAGTTTTAGTGTTAATCAGATTTGTTTGATCATAATAATATAGTCATGATAATTACCAAAAAAATAATAATTTAATATAGTCATGCTAAGCAAATTACCTAAGATAGGCGACAACACAAACTTTGCATCCATAGCAATAAGACGAACTCAGCTTCACCAGTTAAATAGATCTAGCTTGCACCTATATCTATTTCCCTTTCCTTTTTTCTAATTTTTTAGTATTAGTTATTTAGGCGTCTGGATAAACAGATAATACTAAACAATTTGGATATCAATATGAATTTTTTTTTTGGTCATTATTGACCCAGAATTTAAAAAATAAAAAAATAAAAAAAAAATTACAGCAAAGGTTGAAGAACCTGAAAAAACTTTCATATATTTTCTACTAATTGGTCAAGCTAGAGGAAAGAGCAAACATAATTCAAATTTTCAAATTTTGAATGCGAGCTGTTAAAAGGTATGACATAACAAAAAATTAGATTTTTAAGTAATTTTTTAGTAATTCATTTTACATGACAAAGAACCATCTTTCTACATTGGAAAAAGATTTCCTATTATCAAATTATGCAGAGTGTTAATATCTCATTTACAGGACAGGAAAACAAAACAAGCTATAGTACTATTAAATACAACCCTCAATTTTCAAATAATTATAATTTAAACGCCTCCGTACAACTTGATTTTGAACATCTTAGTAAAACTTGATTAATTATTCACAGCAAATCAATTATAAATGTGAGATTTTCTTGAAAAGACAACAGATAATTCCAGAAATTTCAACAGCACTTAAACCTACTATTTCAAAACCTATTTGCACAAATTGACCAAGTTTTCACAACCATGACTTGTAGATATACAAATCTCTCTCTTTAAAATAATTTAAAATTAATCATTCAAAAAACCCATTAACTTTACCCTATATCAAATACACCGTAACAAACAGAAGATAAACAAAAAGGAATGACGAGCACAATCAAAAGACAATAGAACTTACCCTCTCGATCCGTACATGGCTCCGAAGCTCGTTCAATTCCCCGAAACAAGCAAACAAATCTTCCGAATATGTGTTTGTGTGTGTGTGTAGAGGGTTTTAATGGAAAAACCCTAGGTCAGAAGTGGTTTGAAACGGAGAGGGAAACCTAGCTAGGGTTTCAAGCGTTGGAAGGGATCTTTGTAAATAAGGAAAGCTCCGCGTATTCTGATTATAGAATACCGATATAAACATCGCTCGTTAATTTATTTGACCCTGATATCTTTTCAATTACCGAAATACCCTCGGTCTTTAATGTTAGGAGTCAGGAAAGGAGAGAAGTGGAGGAAAGATAGGAACAAAGAGTAAATGGCACTAGTTGGCTCGCCCTAACTCAAGTAGGGGGGACTTGGACATTTTCATTTCGAAAAAGTAGAGTTAATATAAAAAAATTAAATTATAATATCATCTTCGTAAATTACAATAAGTGATGGGTTTAAAGTAAAAATAATTTAAAACTCACTCTTTTTTTCTCCTCTCTTCAAATTAGGGTTGCAACTCGAGCAGCCCAGCCCGAATTAACTCAACCTCATCGCAAAATTATTTGGACTTGGCAATGCTTTTCTATTCTCGGTCTGGGCCTAGACTAGAAATTTTGAACCCGAATTAAATTCGTTCCGTGCTTTGGGTTGATATGCTATGAAGCCCGAGCCCAGAAAGGTTATACTTATTTATAACTAGATTATATCACAAGAGTTTGGCAGCCTAGTTGGTAGTGTGTTTGAAATTTTTCTCGAAGATTGTTCGAGTCCTTGGAGCAGCCGAGATTTGGGAAAATTTTATATTTATTTAAAATAAAGTTTAAACTTGATTATTTAATATTTAATTATTTATATTAGGGTTTCACATAACTTTGAAAATTTATAGTAATTGAATTTTAGTTATGGAAACAAAACAATATAACATTTCCAATTCTATCCAAATTTTAATAGGATGAATTTTATTAAGTTCCATAAGTTTTTTTTTTTTCTTTTTTTTTCATTGACTAAAAACACATACACAATGCCCCTGTGACTTTAACCCTCACCTTTTTCTTTGAAAGGTAGAAAAGTAGACTTTGATAAGTACCATAAGTTCTAATCACCGAAAGTTCCAAATAATACTTACTTAATGGCTGCCACTCTTGCTATTATTCTCATAGCCCCAAAAGATAATTTATATGCCTAAGGAAGAGTGTTTGAAGGCCATTGAAAATCAAATGGATTACTAGATATAAATTATTGCCATAAGACCATATAATACATAGTTAAGACCATATAATACATAGTTTTGGTTAGTTTCAATCACATGAGTGGTTTTATTTTATGTCAAATGGATATAGTTATATGTTTTTTTTTTTGTTTTTTTTTTTTTTTTGTTTGTAATGTCTATTTATTAGTAAGATATTACAATTTGGGATAACCCGAAAAATCTAGCAAAACTCATAAGGTATGCACGGGTTGAGATGTGATGAATTCCTTGGAATTTGGACTGGGCGTGGACTGAAATGTCACAATCTTATGTTTGGCGTGGGCTAATCTTTAACCCGCCTGATCCCCAAATCCTACCCCTAGGTTGGGGTGTAACTCCGCATAGGGTTGTTTTGGAGGCTCAACTCGGTTTAGTTCGAAGGATGAAATCTTTAACATTAACCCAATTCAACTTGACCATCAACTTGAGTTAATGAATTCGAGTCCAATCCAATCCATCCATAATTTTTTAAGCTCAAGTTGAATTTAGGTTTGCAACTTGAACTAAAGTTCAGGTTGAATTTGAACTTTTACCGCATGTTGCTATTTTGAATTATAATTCGAGTTGTTGTCATAACAAATAAAATAACCCTATTAGGGTTATGCTCGGACTGATACTACATATTAGGATATGATACAATGTATTTTATATATGTTATAATGAAGTAAACCTACTTAAATAACCAATTACATGCAACTAACATAAAAATATATACATATGGTTCATTGTTCGGTTTACCCGATTCAGTAATCCAAACCCAGAGTCAAAATTAGTTCGAGTTCTTACTTTTCAACCCATACTTGGACGACATTGCAATTCACATAACCCTAGTCTAAAAAATTTCAGGTTGGGCTCAGTTTGGTCCAGGTTGATTGCGCCAAGTTGCACCTTTAGTATTAGGGTTGTGCACGGTTGTGGTTGCCCAGATCAATAGTGAGTTGAAACCAAATCAATTCCAACAATTCTAAAAATATCATAACCAAATTGAACTGTGAAGAACCAATAGACTAAACTATAGGGTAAAGTGTAAAAAAACCTCTCAACTATGTCTAAATTTGTAAATAACCCCCATGAACTATGTTTTGTACATAAAACTCCCTAAACTATCACATTTAGTTGCAAAATGCCCAATTGTCTCACCTATTTTTCATTAAATAACCATAATACCCTTTCTTATTGAATTACACTTGATATATTTTTCTTGTTAAAATAAATTATGAAAAAAATTCATACTCTTTTGATGAAATATTCTCTATTAAATTTGCATAAGTTTGCCTTTAATTTTTTTAATTAATTATTTAAATAAAAATCTTCAATAGAAAATTTTGAAACAATTTAAGTAATTTCTTAATTTTCATGAATATATTGCATTAAAAAGAAGATATTTTTTATTTACGTAATTTATTAATTTTTCATGAATATTGTTTGAAAAAGAAGATATTTTTTTATACTAAATTTTTTAAAAGTGAGTATAATAAGTTTTATTATAATAAGTTAATCATTTTAGAAAATGATAACTACAAATTTATTTATTTTTTTCCATTTTTATAATCAATTGATACTAATTATAAAATTAAGGTCAATGGTCTAATTAATAGGGTAAAGTGCAATAAATCCCTATGAACTATAAGCCAATTGCACAAAACTCTCCTGAATTAACAAATGCCCCCCTGAACTACTAAAAAGTTGCATTTAAGGACATCAGGCAAGACTCCGGCACCGGAAAACCAAGATTACAAAATTACCCTCTAATTGAACGGCACCGTTTTATAGAAAACTGTTCATCTTCTCTAAATAATCAAAACGTACAGACACATATATATTTATACATACACAACAGACACATCTATATCTATATATACACATAGAGACATATATTTATTAAAAATTATTTCTTTGAATTCGAATCAAAATCCCAAATAATCAATCTCACGAGGCCAAAGTCGAAAATTTTGGACTTCAAATCAAATTCCGAGTTAAGATTCAACGATCAAGAAGTCGTATGACACAAATGTCGTCGTGGAAGGCAGCCGGAAAAGACAAAAAGACGTAGAAGCTCTGAGACTTTCGAGACCGCAGGTAACCCAACCTTCCTTTTATTTATTTATTTATTTTTTTGGACAAGTCAACCTTCCTTTTATTCACGCCACACACAGTGCAGAAAAGGAAGCCATTGAAGTAGGAGGAGGAGATGGGTCTAGTGATGGTGGTATTGTGGCGGCAACTACGGGGGTTAAGCTCGAGGAAGGAGACATAAATGGCACAGCGGTTCGGGACGGCACCGAATCAGCTTTAGAATCGACGACCAGGCAAATCAGTGAGACCACGGCAAATCACAAATCCACAGTCCGACAGTCACCATGGACAATGGCTAGTTCGGAACCCTATAGTGACACTATGACAGATGAGCCGGCCGTTACAAGAAAGAAATGTCAAAAACGAGATGGAGACGTCCGCTGCCAGCTAGTTTATAGCGATGACGGTGGCGGCTTCGGCGGCAACAACAGGTTTACAGCGGTAATGAGGTCGCGACAACGATATTGAGAGAGAGAAGATGGGCTGAGGATACAGCGGTGGTGAAATTGAGAGAGGAGGTGGGTAAACTGGCGGCATCGCGGATAAAGAGAGAAGGGGGAAACGAAAGTGGGTTAGGGTTTTTTTTTTTAGAAAATTAGCATCAGCGGCGATGAGAACGCCGAACACCTCTAGCACCAGCGGCGATGAGAACGCCGACCACCTCTAGCACCAGCGGCAATGAGGACGCCGACCACCTCTAGCACCAGCGGCAATGAGGACCACAACCACCTCTTTCTCAAATCCATCCCTCACCACACCGACGCATGTGATTTTTTTAGGGCTTTAATTTGGGATTTTTTTATTTTTATTTTTATTTTATACATTTAATAGTATAAGGGTAGATTTGTCATTTTCAAAATATATTGCTGGCATGTATTCATCACGTGACTAATTGGCCAGAGAAATCAAATGGAATTTCGCCGGTGTGTAATTTTTGCAAAAAAATTGATAATTCAGGGGGTTAATTGTACAAAAAATAATTCAAAGGGGTTTTTAGGGAGAGAAAGTAAAGTTCGGGGGCAAGGGGGGGTTGCACTTTACCCTAATTAATATTTAAATAAGAGAAAATATAATAAAAAAATAATTTAATAAGAAATGACAAATTTAATAACAAAAGGTAAAATAGTTTTTTGTAATGGGTTTGTCCTTAATTGCAACAAATTAATAGTTTAGGGGGGCAATCTTTAGTTCAGGGGGGTTACTTGCAAAAAGTCAATAATTCAGAAGGGTTTTTTGCACTTTACCCTAAATTATATTATTATATCATGAATGTTTGATTCGGCTATATATATATATATATATATATATATATATATATATATATATATTATGTGTATATATGTTGTTTTTTTTTTTTTTTGTTCCTGACAAACACAAACCAGATTACATCTCTGTTCGATAGGAAAGAAAAGGTTTGAATGGAAAGGAGAGAAGAATGGATGGATGAGACAACTCTAGGGAAGAGATTGTGTATTTTATCTTTTTGTTCGGTTGGATATAAGAGAAGATAATTTACTAGGGGTGTGCAAAAAAACTGTCAACCAGAAAAACCAAACCGGACCGGACCAAATCGGGTTGTCTAGGCGGTTCCATAGTGGGTTGGTCCGGTCACGGTTTCAAAATAATGGAACCGTGAATTTTTGGTTCGATCCCGAATTAGGGTCCTACAGGACTGGACCGGCCCAAACCGAACTGTTATAATATGTATATAAATATATGTTATATATATATAGTTATACCTATATACTACTCTTAACTTTGCAAGGGATTTCAGCACAACGATCAAACGGGAACCAACATTTATCATTATCTAATATTTTTTTTATTTGTTTTTGCTTCTCCCAATGTTTTAATTTTTGGGTTCATGCCAACATCCATTATCTTT